CCATTCTATGATTCTAGGATTTTATTTATTTATTTATTAGCCACCTTGTTATGGGAAGCTCACTGATAGAGAATTTAAATCTCTCAGGACCTCATAGGCAAAACCCTTCAAAGTGCTTTTAAATAATTGCATTTTACTTTTCCTTCCAGCCCTATGTACTCAAAATATTTGAAACATTTATTCTTGTTTCAGTGTTATCAACTGAAAAACTGGATATACTATACATAATCCTTAGTCTTTCTACTGGGAAAACAAAACCAACTTTCACTGCAGAGACCTCCCCAGAAACTCCTGAAGGACAACATCCTGCCCAAAAATTTATTAGGAGTGATAGAAAAATAAATTTTCCAGGCTTCTTCAGTGGCAAGAAAAAGAAGGCACAATTCACAGGATTGTTCTAGCAAATAGAACACTCACATAACCTGTGTGTTGCGAGAAAAGGTATGTGGCTGTGGGAGGCACGTACCCAAGATAAACTCTTTTCTGTTTCAGAGGCTCATTAAAAACTTGCACTGAGACAATTTTCAAGATAGCAAAGAATAGCTGATTTATTAAAGCGACAGATACAAGATTCAGAGTGGCTGTTGGCAAATTCGCTCTTGGCAATAGTGCTAATATATAATTGTAATGCCAGCAAAATACTACCCCGGGTATTTCTCCCCACAAGGTGAAAGCACAATTCTTACCAAGAAGGCAGGAGAAGGGGCACAGCCCGTCAACTGCCTCTTCTGGCTTTGTTCTCTTTCTCCATCGACACACTCCCTCCATGCTCCTTATATTCTAACTTTATCTATCTCCCCACCCTGGGGTGACATTTGGCATAATTTGAGTGGAGAGTAAGCGGCTATAGTCATATAGAGATAACAAAGCAAAAAGTTTCATTCTGGGCACTGTGGCCTTCAGAATTCTGTTTTGAAGCAACTTATCTGTTTTCAGGATGGCATTGACATCGTTAGTCTCCATCTGTCCTCATTCTTTAGCCAAAACAGGGCTGTCCTGGCACATCCCTCCTTCAGCTGGTTCTCACTGTGCAGGCCTTGTTGATCTCCATCCCCAATGTCTGCACAACAGATAAGCAGACACCTGCATTCTGCAAGCCTCAAATCCTCAGGTTAAAATATCACACTGCGGTGTAATGAAAGCAACCTGTCTTTACTTGGAACCTGATTAATAATTTCAATGAATAACCGTATGGGCTGTAAGATAATTATGTCAAAATATTAAAAACTGACCATATTTTCCTGCCTTGGGTGAAGGAGAAGGGGCACAGCCCGTCAACTGCCTCTTCTGGCTTTGTTCTCTTTCTCCATCGACACACTCCCTCCATGCTCCTTATATTCTAACTTTATCTATCTCCCCACCCTGGGGTGACATTTGGCATAATTTGAGTGGAGAGTAAGCGGCTATAGTCATATAGAGATAACAAAGCAAAAAGTTTCATTCTGGGCACTGTGGCCTTCAGAATTCTGTTTTGAAGCAACTTATCTGTTTTCAGGATGGCATTGACATCGTTAGTCTCCATCTGTCCTCATTCTTTAGCCAAAACAGGGCTGTCCTGGCACATCCCTCCTTCAGCTGGTTCTCACTGTGCAGGCCTTGTTGATCTCCATCCCCAATGTCTGCACAACAGATAAGCAGACACCTGCATTCTGCAAGCCTCAAATCCTCAGGTTAAAATATCACACTGCGTCTCTTCCTCCTTCTCTAGCGCATCTCTAAGAGTTGTGTTGGCACTGAGCAATTCAGTCAGGGGCCTTATGAAAGCAAGGACGTTTGTAAGTTAACAGGGCATAGGATAACCTTAGAGAACCTCAAGTTGCTTCCAAGTTGCTGATACAGATGTTTTAGAGAAAATAAGATGACAAATTCACGCTTCCATTAGTTCTGAAAGGGAGAAAAATTTCTGCAGTGGGTGCTAACCTTTTCATTACTACACATCTCTATGTTTTGCAACTTCTTAGTATTGAAAACTGTCAGATGTTACCAGATGCCACCCACAGACTTCTCAAGGTACACCAGAGCTCAATGCCTAACATACCTTACACGTGAAACTACATATAACAAAGAATCTGTTCTCATAACATCTGTAGTTGAAAAATCACATGTCCCATGACTACTTCTTTTCCCTAAAGAAGCGAATCAGTTATACAAACTGTATTGCTGCATAACTTGCATCAAACTGGCAAAAATCAGAGAGTACCCAACAACCCGACTGGTCACACAGCTCACTAAAATTTGCAGATGATTCTGAAGCCCAATGCTAGATCCTCGAGTTTAAGAGGTACTACGAATCATAGAATGTTCAGGGTTGGAAGGGACCTCTAGAGATGATCTAGTCCAACCCCCCTGCCAGAGCAGGATCCCCTAGGGCAGCCACACAGGAACGCGTCCAGGCGGGTTTTGAAAGTCTCCAGAGAAGGAGACTCCACAACCTCTCTGGGCAGCCTGTGCCAGTGCTGTCACCCTCACAGTAAAGAAATTTTTCCTCATGTTGAGATGGAACTTCCTGTGTTCTAACTTAAACCCATTATTTCTTGTTCTAATGCTCGGCATCACTGAGAAGAGATTGTCCCCTTCCTCTTGACACCCACTCCTCAGATATTTATATACATTGACAAAATCCCCTCTCAGCCGTCTCCTTTCAAGGCTGAACAGACCCAGTTCTCTCAGTCTCTCTTCATAGGTGAGATGTTCAAGTCACTTAATCATCCTCATAGCTCTAATGTGAAATTTGAGACTTCCCTTCCAAAATGAAAAGAAACTTTAAAATTCAAAATTTCCACTGCAAAATGCTTCTGTAGGCCAAACTTGTAGCTAAATGATGAACTCTGGAGAGAACAGAAAAAACATACAAAAGGAATACAAGATCACAGTTCTTCCCAAAGAGAAGAAACTACTGGTTACATAAAGCAACTGAAGGAGAGAAGGCTCCTGTATTCAGGGTTTTGCAGATTAATTCCATCTCTCACAGCAAGAATTGTTGTTAGTCATAAGAGAAGGGCCACAAACTCCAAGATCCTCTGGATCTACAACTGGTCATGCAACACACAGGAGGTAACTTGCCCCACCTCATCACACTGCAGATGCTGAGCAGAAGGGAACTGTGCTGGGAAGGCTGTTGGCCTCTTTTCCCCAGTGAATAGCGACAGGACAAAAGGGAACAGGTTCAAGTTGTGCCAGGGGAAGTTTAGATTGGATATTAGGAAAAACTTCTTCACCAAAAGGGTGGCGAAGCATTGGAATGGGCTTCCGAGGGAGGTGGTGGAGTCACCATCCCTGGCCATGTTTACAAAACGGCTGGATGTGGCACTTCAGGAGCTGGTTTGGTGTCAGGGTGGTGTAGGGCTGTAAGTCGGACTTGATCTTAAAGGTCCTTTCCAACTCTGATGTTTCTATTAATCTGCGACTCAGAGGCTTTGTGCTCACCAGGACTCACCTGCCTTCATGTCCTCTTCTGAAGGCACTGCAGGGACTTCCTTCCCTGTTGCTCCCTGCCGTCCTGAGTGTATCAGAGACCAGAGCAGCACACAAAAGGCAACAGGGAGTTTTGAAACGAGAGGCTAAGATTGCCAAGTACAGGGCCAAGCTGGCTACTCTGCAGGGATTTCACAGAGCTTGTCAAATTTAGGTAGATAAGTCACCAAATGCATGTCTTTAAAACAGAAAGAAAGGGCAGGTCAAATTGTTATGGGCTGAAAGGAATGAGAGAATGTGATAATGTTCAATAAGTAATAATAAATTATAATGAAACATTTAATTACAGTGATTAATAGTAATTAAATAATTAAAATCAAAAACAAACTGCTAGAAAATGTAGGTTTGGGAGCATAAAACATCAAGTCACTTAAGCTCCACTTCTAGTCAGAAGATAACAATTTTAAAAGAGAAGTATGGGATTTGCACCATGATGTCTTAAAACTGTGCAAATAAGACTCAGTAGCGAGAGGGAATTCAGCTGCCTGTCTGCTCTGTGTAAGCAAGCAGGGCAAGAGAAGACACCAAAAACAGAAGGGACATATCCAACAGTCTGACAGGATTCTGGTTGTATACATCAGGATCCCTGGACAGAAGACTGGCAAATGGTAAGTACTGTAGCAGTAGATCATAACAGATTTGTAACTAAGGGAATTCAAGTACTCTGACAGGAAAAATGTAACCTCTATTTAAATTCATTTCAGGTAATACAAGTTTATTTAGGAAGTTGCTTAACATGGTCAGTTCATAAGATGTAAAAAAAGTTAAGTCTGTGACACAAAATGCCACCGCCACAAACGATCTATGATATAAAGTAAATTTTATTTTATAAACTCTTGTTAACAAAACAGATCTCATATGGAGAAGCCAAGGAGAGAGTTAATGTTTATTTACACACAGAATTTATACTATGTGCTAGCAGATCCCTCTACAATGGTTTTTTTTTTCAGAAGACAACTCCCCCATATGCCAGGCATTTAACAGATAGCCTGCAGTTTCTTACAGCACAGCATTTCATCAACATAAAGGTTCACATATTGACCCAAAATAAATTAGAATACTGTTCGCACATGGAATATGAAGTTTGCAGCAAACTGCAAAGAAAACTGAGGCAACTACACCATTTTAATGAAAGAGTATCAGCTATAGTCAGTCACGTATAACACATCAGCAAGAAGTTTACACTTTCTTGTTATTTACACTGGAGTGCACACCTCAGCTGCCACAGTAATAATATTTTTTTCCTTTCACACACATGTCTTCCCTGCATTTCCCAGGTTGCAAACCCACTGCTGCAGAGCAGTAAAAGCCTTCTTTTGGTTCTGTGCTTCTCCTGAAAACATTCACAAGTTTGACTGCTGGGAAACTAAGGAGAAGGGAGAGGCAATTTTACGAACCCTGTAACACCCAAACTTCAGTAGCATAGGAGAGTCATATTCTAGAACATGTCACAGCACCTTACAGCAGTTTCAAAGTGGACCTGTCACTTACACACACTATGATTTTTCCTCAGGAGTTTCCACCAGTTAAATACGAGCTCTCACTTTCCACGTTGGTTGATGTTTAACTTCATCGGCTCTTACAAGGCTCGATTTTGCATTTGACTTCTGATTGCAACGTCCAACCTGGGGAGCAGGGACAGAAATAAACAAAATTATACCCAAGACAACTGAATGAGGTGACGTTTACAATTAAGACAGGTTTGGAAGAGTTGTCACAATTCCTAATGTTGGGAGAATAAAAGAATAATCCTGTGCAATTTATTTAACTACATTTATTCTTCAAAACACTCAAGGGTAAACAATTCATTGCTTCTTTACAAGCTCATGGGATGATTCTGCTTTAACCAGAAAAAGCTCATCCTTCTGTGTTTACTCCTGAATATGCCCTATGCAGTCTCTCTTCCAGGGCTTCGTAATGCAGCTGTTAAACTCTGGAACAACAGCTATTCCATAAACAAACCGTCCTAACATCTAACTTTGATCTCTTTATCTAGAATCAGGTATGTCACTTATGCAATGCAGCATCCAAAATACAAGCCTGGCTATTCTTAAGAAGTTTTTAATTTTTCCTTGGGGTGGGGGGGAAGTCAACAAGGAAATTTATTAACACTGCACCAGAACTCTTGACTCACTACAGTCTGTAAAATATATGCTAGTTTCACTTGCAAAATCCGTGTGGCAGCCGAAATTAAAAAATCATTATACCTAGAAATAGAAACACACGCCTTAGCTTTCCTTAAGTTTTCACGTAAGCAGCTAGCCACGCATCTAAGCAACAGCTTTCAAAGAACATCTGGATTTCCATGATGCTTTGCATTAATATTTCCTCCCATTAGGCTAACAAATGCCACATTCCAAATCTTTAGCTTGCACGTAAGACAGAATTGCCAAGCAGAGAGACAGAGTTTAAATTGTTGCCACTTCTTTCTATCTATCTCATCTAAGCAGTTTTGAGGTTTGTGGAAGTCTCCAATAACCAACCAACAGGACTGCAGGACTGCGTAAGCAGAAGCAGCTTGCAGAGGCTGCTCGACAGAAACCAGCACTCGTTCTCCTCTGTCCAAAGGCTCTGTTCTAGCACTTTCCTTGTTCATAGCAAAAACTACTTCTCACGGGCTTTGCAACAGCATTAAGGGCTACATCTCATTCTGGACAAAGATGCAAACTGCGTGGAAATGATCCTACTTCAAAGAAAAATACCATGGCCAATGCTTTCATTTTTATTTATGAACATCTAGCACGTCTTAGTCAGACCTCTCTTGCATTTTCTTAGCATCTTTACTTGTAAAATTAGTCACTAAGTAGTCAGCATTACTAACTAGACACACATTTAATATACATGGATATCTGCCAGTTACCATCAAGCAAATGTCCATAGTTCAGTGAACTATTTTAAAGTCAGTCTTCCAAGTTTTTCCTCTTGGCATATCAAGAAGTGTACTTACCAGTCTATGTCCATTCAAAATAATTATCCTTTGAGATTCCATCTTGATTATACATGGGGGGGGGAAAAAAGCAATTACTTAGGCTGATGGCTTTAAAGCACTGTAGAGAAGTTGCAGACCTGTAAAAAACCTGCATCTATCCATGAAAATAGCATTCAAACATATATTCTTATGTAAAAACATACCAGTGGCATCTCTGGACTAGAAAACGGGGAGCTATCAAAAGATTGATTTTCTTTGTCCAGGGAATCATCCTCTTCTTCATTTTTATGTGCAAATTTCTGCTTTAGTGCGTGAGTTAGTAGAGCAACTGGATCCCAATCTGAACTCTTCCTCTTTTTGGGTCTAGAAAGAGGAGTACCTCCAGGTGACCTACGAAAAAAAAGATAATTATTGTCTACAGCACCTAACCCTGTGCCAAGTGCTCCAAAAGCTAGAGACACAACCTCTGTATACACCCTATGCCATAAATCCCTGATTACACAAATTACACTATTTATTTTAAAGCAGTTCACCAAAGACGACTAGTACAAGTACACCCAACAAACTGTCAGACAGATTTTTTAGCTTGAAAATTCAACTCAATGCTGTTCCAGAAAGAAAAATGGCAGTAAATCAACACAAAGTATTAAAGTATTGCAAATAATGGGGGTGGGGGGGGATCAAAATGTGCAGTTTTCATAGTAGGTCTCATTTCTAAGTTATAATACAGCATGTTACTGAGAATCTCCCACTAACATAACTGTTGTGAAAATAATTTTATATAAATTTTAATCATTTTAAGTCCAGAACAGTATGCCTTTCTATGGTCTCATGAAAAAACCCCAAACTTACCAAATCCATCAAAGCAACTATATTCACAAAAAACAACCACTTTAAGGCAAATACAGAGCTAGGTGACCATAAGCTCATCATTGTTTAACGTGAAAACCGTAAGGATTGACTTCACCCTTCCTATAAAAATCAAGTTGTTTGAGCACTTGTCCAACGCATAAGCTGGTGCTCAGATGGTAGAAACCGGGATCTTCAGGCTCTCAACCTCCAAGAGTCTTCTTTTTACAGTGCAAACATTAAACTACTGTCGGATGGCTGCCTGAAAGATTATAGCAATTGGGATCATCGTTACTCCCTCCAACAATATAAATTCACTACTCTTTCGGAATAGAGGTAGATGCCCAAATCCAGACAGCATTTCGGACACACGCCTACCACTTCCTATGCATGGTTTAACAATGCGTCATTGTTAAAACTGTCAATCTGAACATTTCACTCTGCTCACCATACATGGAACTATATAGAAGAAAACATATGAGTTTACCCAGGTGCACTTTATATTTGCCCTATTTACTGTGAAAGCATGATCAAAAGTATGAAAGTAAGCTTTAGAGTTGCATATAGATAATTTGCCCAAGACTTGTGCTAGTTATTTTCAAGGACAAAGCTCAGTTAAGAAAATGCTGAAATAAGAATGCTGGAAATTTTGGTAAGTGACATTCTTGCCACATTAAAAGCTCCAAATATTATAGACTCAGTTGTTCTTACATACTTTTTCAACTCAAGAAGCTCAGGAAAGACATGTGACAACCTCCATCACACCTAGCACAGCAGAGCAACACTGACCAGAAGAGGCACTGCAGTCTTTAGTAACGCATTTTTGTAACATGTCAGCTGTGCTTACCATCAAACCAGCAGATTGTCAAAAGTATTTATAATCCAACTGCACTACTGAAATGCAAATTTACAAAACATTTTTTAATGCAAGATATAGCATGCACTTAACCCTTTAAAGCTAGGACCAGAATACTTTGGGCATGTTAGCAGTTAATCTTTGGGTTGGTACCCACAAATCCATTAAGTTTATTTGTTCAGATCAATTTCCCACGACTGTGTATGCAACTTTGTAAGCAACTTTGTAAGCAATCTCCAGATAGCAACACACTCACCTCCCCACATCAACCTGAGCTTTGCATACTGAATCACGAGACTAGATTTAAATGCCGTGACATTCAGCACATTTTAAATGCATCTAAAAGCCACGTCACAAGCATCTTACATTCTGGACTATGAACTTAAAAGCTGCCAATTTAAGTCTGGCAAGTAGCTGCTCATTAAACGACATTTCCTATTTGTGTTCCCTCGCGCCACTTAAGTGCTGTGACGCTTCCACAGTCTTGGCTCACTCAGGTACACGTTCAGTTCAACCCACCTCTCAACAGCTCGCAGCTGCACTTTGCCCAAGTCTTTCAAAACATCCATCATACTAGGAACACTCTTTGTCCTTTGGTGATCAGCACTCTCAGCCACAGTTGAGCCACTGTTTCTTGCAGCACGCCGCTGTTTTATGAGTTCGACTGCAGAATTACTAGCACCAACACCAGATGGCACAGCAGAAGGAAGTGGAGGAGGCGAGGGAATTACAAAGTGATTGTGAGAGACGGACAGTGGTGTAGAAGTCATGGCTGGCACTGGGTAAAATCCATCTGGAGTGCTGAATGTTTTAAAGACTTCTGGATACAATTATAAAAGAAAAATCAGTGATTTTATTTTTAGTCAGTATATCTTCACAACTAACAATATTAAGCAACACGTGGGATGACTCAGTTTTAAGTCAAGAGACAAGAGAGTCCTCGAAAGCACTTTCTTACCTCACACATTACACCACATAAGAATTATATTTAAAACAAAGACTATTTTTTATTTCAAAGCCACAGATTCAGAATACATGAAAAAAAAAAAAAATCTGAGGTGTCTTGTGCTGCTCTAATACTCTCCATTTTGGTCTTCAATCTGAGCACTAGATAAATCAGCATAGCAGCATCCCAACAACAAAGCAGCCTACTACTACGTACAGCTCATTCTCAATGGTCTGACACAAAAGCAAAGATAATCGCAAACCAAGTAAAACAGACAATATTGAGTGCGAAGGAGAAAAGAAAAACGGTGACCAAACAGACCAGCTAATGGTCTGCCTCACAGTATCACACAGACATAACTACATTGCAGTGGTCCAAATATTTCAACAACCACAGTGGAGTTAGTCTGGAACTAAGATAATCAAGACCTCAACATTTTATTTTTGGGGGGAAGTCACAAGATCTCCAGTACAAATTCCTACATTTGATACTCTAGTGACACATTAATTGGCAGCATTTGTTTTTGTTGAATGCTGAACCTCACTGACTTAGAATACTTTTTCTCTCCATTATTCTGTCAGAAGCAGAAACTTAACAGAAACCCGAAAGAGACAGTTAATAGTCCAAGTTTTTTAAACAGCAGTAGGTAGCCTATGGATAGTGCTGGTTCTAAACTCTTTCACAAATACAGAAAGGAGCACAAAGATCACGTAGGATCAACTGCATTTGGAATGGGCAAGCAGGCCACAAAAGAGAAGTGAAGGTGGAGGAGGAGGAGCACATGGCAAGCTGTGGACAGGAACTCTAAAGCAAAAAAAAAAAAAAAAAAAAACAAAACCTGGTTTGCTTCAAATCAGAAGTGCTTACGTGATGGAATGCTTCCCAACGTCTGCGCTGAAACAACCATCGCAATCTGAGCACGAAGAAAGGCTAGCTCATCTTCAAGCGCAGAAATTTTCTGGAGTGCTGCTTGATCAACACCACTGTCTTTGTACATACTGGTTTTTGGAACACTTTGTATCGAAACTATAGATGGATGTAGGTCACAATAAGCTGTACTTTTTTCTTTTCTCCATAATTCAGTCCTAGAAAGCAACAAGATGCAATTTCAAAAGGCTGAGCCTTGAATGGAAGTCTCAAAACAACACACTGTCTGTTCAAGCAAGTTGTCATCATTCAACAAGACATAAATTTGCAAACTATTTAAGAAAACTTTACACTTTTAACTACTCATAAATTTAAAATGTTTAAGTCTCCCTTTGCTCACATAGGATGCAGATCCTTGAAAAAGCCACAATTAAAAAAAAAAAAGATAATTTACCCAGGGATTGATTATACATCATATGGTCATAACGTAGGATTCAGCTGTAATTGTTGAATAGCTATTAGACTGACACCACAGAGGTGTATCTCCCTCCTCCCCCCTTGAAACAGTAGATATGAAAGGCAGATGAGTCAAAGAATAACGATCTTCTAATTAGGCTTCACAAATTTTAGTCATTTATCAAACTCCGCAAGACAAACATGGGAAGCTGCAATCTTTCAGAAAATATATTAGAGAATAATAATAAATTTTAGAATACAGTTACAGAATAAAAACTTCATCTTCCGTAAGCTACATACAGTTTGCATTGTAAAATTGCACTACAAGTCTCAGGTTTTAAAATTAAAACTTGTTTCAAGTCTGTGACTGCAGAAATAACCTTAAAGTATAGAATGAGAGAAAACTTAAACAAGCAGAAATTCATTATGAAACAAAGAAATTAAATTTATTTATTCCACATGCACTAAGTATTGATTAAAACAAAAGCAGACCCTTTCCCTTATATTAATCATCCTTCTACTTCGAATTAGACCTGCAGCATTGCCTTTCAATTTGCCAAAAAACCCTCACAGTGACTCAGAAGGAAAAGATACCGATTTGAGTATTTGCTCTTGAGAAACATTCCACAGTACCAGGAGAGGAGGAGGAAGAAGAACGGAAAAAACAAAAGAATTAACTTCCATAGATTGTGAATCAGACCAGATAAAGAACAGCACAAGCAAGACAAAATGGGCCACAATTCCTTTTAACAATTTTTTCACCTCTAACAAAAAGTGTGTAGTTTTGAATTAATCCATTTCTTACAGTTTTATTATCAGGAGGAAGCACAAAGATCACAAGCACATGCCAGTATGAAGTAGAATTACATTGATACAGATGTAGTGCAAGACAATACAAGTGTCCAAATTCTAATCTCAGATCTGACTCATCCTGTGATTTTGAACAGATCTTTTAGAGGAACAGGGAGACAACTTGCTATTTCTTCTCTAAATGGGAAAAAGAAAAACAGGCAAGAGTTGTATACCATTTGCATCTGTAAATTCCTAGATAATTTATCATTTCTCAGTACTTGTAATATTTTATAATTGTAAAAATATTTTTCTTTGGTACTTGTAAAGCTAGAAAGAAATACATAAACTACAGTAAAGGTAAATTTTTTTAATAATGCTCTTCATTCATCAAAGCTACCATCAAGGCCTACAGACAGCATTGTAGCAAGCAAAGTCAAATGGAGACTTTGAAATATTTTTCTTGTTTTCCCCTTTATAAAGGTTATCGGCATAAAGATAAGAAAAATCTTATAGTATGTTGCAATACCCAAGTTTCCCTTAAACTCCCTCTCTCAGAAAATATTTTGGGAATGAAAACAAAATAACAGAAATGCACTTGACATGCTACTAGGAAAAGAGAGGACTCAGTTTCAGAAATCTTCCAGATACGAATAGTCTACATAGTAAGAATTTCAAGGTAAACAAAAACTGCCTCCCCAAAACCCCAAAACTTTTCCATGGTTGGTTGATCTGGAACCCTGAAGGGGCTATGTATTTAAAACAGACAAAAAAACCTCAACAAACCAAAACCAAAAAAAACCCAAACAACCACAAAACAAAAAACCAAATCCCCAAACAAAGAAATCACACCTCACAAAGAACAGAGGACAGAAGTTACTTCTATTACTCCTTTTTATATTTTTACTTACCTAAGTCTAGCAAATGCTTGTCCCTCATCACTTGCCACCCATAGGACATCAGCAAGTGATGGAGCTACAGGAGCTGGAGCTGTGTTTTGATCATCATAATCCAGAGGACTTGAGTCTTTAACAACCTAAAACCAAATAAGAAAATTTTAAAAAGTATGAGGAGAAACCAGATTCAGCACAAACTGAAAGGTTACCCTCAGCAAAAGGAATTTTTAAACAGTCCCATACGCAAGTTGAAAACAGTGAGCATAATGGAAACAACACACGAGTTACACAAGCTCAAAAGACCAGGAAAGCTCTCACTAAATTAAGGAAGCAGAAAATTTAAGTAATTGAAGCATATGTATGACAGTAAATTGCTTACTTGCAAATAAGGTCTCGGGTAGGGCTCAAAGGAAAGAATTGTCCCAAGTCTACGGACAATACTTCGAGTAGATCCATATTGCTTTTTTCGGCAAACAGATATGACCTAAAAATCAGAATATCTCTTAATCTGAGAAGCAAAACCAAAGCCCTCACTTCTTACAATTAAAATTATTAATAATTTAATGCTATATATAATTAAATATAACGCAGTTAGGTTAACTTATCAATGCTCTTCTCAAGCTGAAAGTCCAAAGAAGCCTACGCTGGTTTTAACAAACTGTTTCCAAAATACTGTCGAGACCCAGCCTGTACTCGGTGCATCTTAGAGTGGCAC